ACTAATGCACCAGATCCCATCAGAACTCCGCAGTTAAGCGTGCTTGGGCGAGAGTAGTACTAGGATAGGTGACCTCCTGGGAAGTCCTCTTGTTGCACCCCTTTTTCATTTTTTTTCTTTTAATTTTCTTCTACTTTCGGAATTTCTTATGGGAAGCAATCGGTTCATGTAAGCATTACGTCTTAGTATGGCTGCGAATGAACAACATGTTCGATGAACGGCACGTGATCAAGCTGGATCAAAGGCCGTTTATGTTCGCTCGGTAAGGTTTCCAAAGAGAAATAAATTTTTCTTCTTCTTTCGAAAACTTTTTGGGTAGTCATCGGTTGAAGTAAGTATTAAGTCTTAGTACGTATGACGTATACGATCATATGTTGGCAACAATGCACCGGATCCAATGAGATGTGGCTTGTATAGATTTATCATGCAAAGACCAATGGGTGCGATCATACCAGCACTAATGCACCGGATCCCATCAGAACTCCGTAGTTAAGCGTGTTTGGTCGAGAGTAGTACTAGGATGAGTGACCTCCTGCGAAGTCCTCGATTTGCACCCCTTTTTCATTTTTTTTTCTTTTAGTTTTCTTCTACTTTTGGTATTTCTTATGGGAAGCAATCGGTTCATGTAAGCATTACGTCTTAGTATGGCTGCGAATGAACAACATGTTCGATGAACGGCACGTGAACAAGCTGGATCAAAGGCCGTTTATGTTCGCTCGGTAAGGTTTCCAAAGAGAAATAAATTTTTCTCTTCTTTCGAAAACTTTTGGGAGTCATCGGTTGAAGTAGTATTAAGTCTTAGTACGTATGACGTATACGATCATATGTTGGCAACATGCACCGGATCCAATGAGATGTGGCTTGTATAGATTTATCATGCAAAAGACCAATGGGTGCGAATCATACCAGCACTAATGCACCGGATCCCATCAGAACTCCGACAGTTAAACGTGCTTGGGCGAGAGTAGTACGTAGGAGTGGGTGACCTCCTAGGAACGCCCTAGTGTTGCACCCCTTTTTCTATTTTTTTTTCTTTAG